GGAAACAGAGGGCTTCCCTGGTGACTCAGATGGTAAAGAATCTGCCTGCCATGCAGGAGACCGGGGTTTGATACCTGAGTCGGGAAAATCCCCTGGAGAAGGAAATGGCAACCCACTCCACTATTCTCGCCTGGAGAATCCCATAGACAGAGAAACCTGGTGGGTTACAGTCCATGGGTCAATGGGGTCGCAAAGAATCGGACACAACTGAACTACTCACACTTTTCATGGAAACAGAAACTCTCAGGGTCATAGGGGATCGCAGGGGACCACTCTGTGCAAGCACTGCTCATCCTTTTCTTGAATGCCTAGAGAGACAGGGAACTCACTCCCTCTAGAGCCCACCTGACTGGCCTTTGGAGCACATTAGAAAAGTCTTTTTTTTTTTCCTCCCTAAGGAAATCTGTCTCCTTTTAATGCAGGTGGCCATAGCATCCAGACCACTGAGATTTATTTTTCCCAGTGACATTTGTAACACTCAAAAGTCCAGTTCCCTGTGTCTTCTTTCTTATCCGTCAGTATTTCTGCAATGAGCTTATCTTGAAAGCTGGTTTCTCAGCCTCTGCTCCCAGTAGGAACCCAAGGGGGCACATCCCAACTCCATGCCAGGGGGAGGGATTGGGGAAGTGAGGAGGCTCATTCTCTCAGTAGGAGGTATTGGTTGGGATTGCCCTGTGGCATGGCTTCTGCCTTCAAGGGGCTGAAGAATGTTCTAGACTGAGGGTGGGGGGCAGATTTGCAACTGTAGGGCAAGGATGATTATCAGTGGCCCTCACTGGTGCCATGGGTTCTGATGTTCCCCAAGGAGGTGGGAGTTATAGGAGGCGAGGGGGCTGGTTTAAAGGAAAAGCCGTGAGTTCCAAGGTCAGGCAGTTCCCCCAGGACATGGTGCTGCTGGGGGTGGTGCTGACCTTCCAGGCCTGATGCCCAGGACTGCAGGGACTGTTCTGGGAGGAAAGGCACGAGGAAGAATCCAGACCCAGCCAGGGAGTCGGTGGGCATCTGTGGCTCCAACCTGGACCAGGTGACAAGCAAGAGAAGGGTCTCGACCAGGAGTCTGTGCAGTGGGATGGGGTCTCTGAGGCCACCAAGAGGCACGGACCATGCTCGATGCTTCCCATTCTTCTTGGCCATGAGCTCATGAGTGTGGAAGGGTGGAGAATTGGGTCCTTTTCCAGACGCATTAATACTGCATCATTTTTTAAAAAAGTGTTTTCAAGCAGCTAGAAAGGATGTTGGGTTTCAGAAATGGATGGGGGAGACGGGCACCCCACCGGAGACTGGGACTCAGGATGAGGTGAGGATGAGATCCAGGGCAGTGGGGCATCCAACAGAGGTTTCTTGGCATCTGAGATCTTCTTTCGTGTCCTCCTCTGTGCTCACGTCACTTCAGGACATGCTGGAGAGGGAGAGACATGGTCAAGTTACCGCAATTGGATTTAGAGAAAGTGGAAAGTGTTCCATGTGTGTGGAATTCAAAAGAATGATCTAATCTGGCTTTGGCATGTCCTCAACAGCAAGAGTGGCACCTACCTTGCAAAGTCTGCCACCTGCCATCCATCTTCCAGATGTGGTTCTGAAGGGCACCTTTCTCTTGGTGCCCCAGCCAAAGAGCAGGCCCCAGGGCAGGTGCCCTCAATCAGCCTGGGTCAGGTTTCAATTAACCCATCTATTCACCATCCTTCCATCCACTTATCCAACTCACTATTCATCCTTCCATCCACTTATCCAACCAACCATCTATCCATCCACACACTCATCCATTCATCCATCCACCCATCCATCCATCCACTTACCCAACTCACCATTCACCCCTCCATCCACTTATCCAACCAACCATCCATCCATCCATACACTCATTCATTTATCCATCTAACCAACCATCCATCCATCATCCATCCATTCATCCCTCCATCCACTTATCCAACTCACCACTCATCCCTCCATCCACTTATCCAACCATCTGTCTATCCACACACCCATCCATCCAACCATCCATTTATCCATCCACCCATCTACACATTCATCCATTTATCCATCCATCCATCCACCCAACTAACCATCCATCCATCCACACACTCATCCATTCATCCATCTAACCAACCATCCATCATCCATCCATGCACTTGTCCAACCAGCCATCCATCTATCCACACATCCATCCATCCATCCAACCATCCATTTATCCATCCAATTATCCATCCACATCCATCCAAGCAACTATCCATCCATCCATCCACACACCCATTCAACCCTCCATCCATCGACTTATCCATCACCCATCTACCCATCTGTCCATCTATCCATTGGACCCATCTATCTGTTTATCCACCCACCCATATACTTGTCCATCTACCTATCATCCATCTATACACCCATCTGTCCATCTATCCACTGCTCTCAACCATTCTTTCTATTATGTATTTAATCATTCAAAAAGTGCTTGTTTTTTATTATCTCTGCCTGAGGATCCCTGGGGGAGGGAGGCCTAATTCTGCTGTTTGTTGTATCTGACTTTTTTCATGGTGAATGATTTCCTTTTGTGTTTTGTGTCTGTGGACGGGGACTGATTTTCAGAACACATGGATTGAGATGGTCTTGTTGGAAATGCATTGAGAACTTGCCTCTATTCAGTCTCCAGGGAAGTACTGGTTTAAGACCATTTTTGATGTTTATTTCTCAGCTTGGGGCTTCTTGGGTCACATGGATAGTACTAAGACATGTGGCTGGCCCATGTTACAGATCTGTAGCAGAGAATGTGGTCAAGGATTAACCCTACACATTCCAAAGAAAAGTCTGGCCCTTTCCCAGCCCCTCGGAGGCCACCTCCACGACCTTGGAATGTTCTTAATAAGAGTATCTCTGTTTGCCTGGGACCTTGGGTCATGCTGGATAGTCTATGCTGACTATTGGCCATGTGGTATCAGCTCAAGCTCTGGAAGGGCTAGAGAGACGAAGGTCAGCCACGTGTACAGTCCACTGTGCATATGACTGACCTCCAATAAACACCCTGGACACCAGGGCTCCTGGCGAGCAGCACAGTTTGGTGACACTTGGTGTGCACCATCACACTTGGCTGCTGGGAGAATAAAGGGCCGTCCCCACGAGTCCCCTGGGAGACAACAACTGGGAACTCGCACCTGTCTCTCTTTGCCCAGCCCCATACAGCCCTTCCTATTGCTGATTTTGATCTGTACCCACATCCACCTGTCCACTGTGATAAACTATAACCATGAACAGATCTGCTTTGCTGAGTCCTGGGAGTCCTTCTAGCAAACCATGGACCCTGAGGGTGGTCCCCAGGACCCGTGACACACAGGGAGGCTTTTTTCTGGCATCTAGAGCTGGGCAGACACACTGAGATAGGTTGTGGGCAGGCATCGCACCCTTCAGCTGAGTTAAATCCCAAGTTTCAGGGGTCCTGGCTATGGGTGAATGTCTCAGCCAGGGTCCTCAGCCTGGGACCTCCCATCAATGGCACCCCCTGGAGTTGGGCAGGGACCAGCTGCTCACTCAACCCCAGAGGAGGCCCTGTTGTCAGGGAAACCATGATCTCCCTGCCTCCCTGGTGCAGCATCCTCCCTTCACCACCAAGTCATGGGGTACTCATCCAGGCTAGGTTCCATTTAGAATGTTTCCAAACAAACATGCCAAGAACAACCCGTCCCCCCTCCCCCCGGCATCCCACGCACCTCGTTTCCTGATCTGTGGCCAGAGCAGACCTGTGGGGAAAGGAAGGAATCCCAGCATTAGTTGCCTGTTTGGGGGGCCTTAGCATTTGGCTGTGAGCCCTATGAGGGCCAACACGGCTGCATCCTGATCTGGCACAAAACAAGCATCAGCGTGTGTCTGCTGTGTAACAAATGAGCCAGGACAGGTAGTCACGAGGACGGCCAAGCCCCCTGGCTGCCACAAAGTGAAACCACCAGTACTGCTCCAGGTCCACCCACCTGGAAGGTGGAACCCATCCACCAGGACCTGCCCAAAGGCCAGCCAGAACCTCTATCTGAGAGCAGATCCTGGGCTCTCAGGCACATCATTTGCCCCTGGTCCCTGTGCTTGGCCTATGATAGATGCAGGGTGGGAGGAGGGGGAGGGAACAGTCCCAAGATACAGCCACTGCCCTCAAAGAGCCCAAGGACAGGAGAAGAAGGGCACAACAAGCAGCAAAGGCAGGAGGTAGATGGCACAGAGACAGGGAAGGAGGGAGGGGGCTTCTAGAGACCAAGGAGGGGGCCAGGCCACCTGTCTACACATCCCAGGGTGAGGTACTAAAGGACTTTTATAATAACAGAGAGTCACTCGATTAAAGACAAATGAGGAGGGGGATGGGAATGGAAGCAACTGCTTAGTGGGGTACAGGGTCTCCCTCTGGGCGGAAAGAATGTTTGGGAGAGAGCCGCTGGTTGCCCTAAACTGTTGTTGTTCAGCTGCCCAGTTATGTCTGACTCTTTGCAACCCCATGGATTGCAGCACACAAGCCTCCCTGTCCTTCACCATCTCCGCAAGTTTGGCCAAACTCATCTCCACTGAGTCGGTGAGGCTCTCCCACCATTTCCTCCTCTGTTGCCCTCTTCTTCTTTGGCCTTCAGTCTTTCCCAGCATCCAGGGCTTTTCCAATGAATCAGTTCTTTGAATCATGTGCCCAATTATTGGAGCTTCGGCTTCAGCATCAGTCCTTTCAATGAATATTCAGGGTTGATTGCCTTTAGGATGGACTGGTTTGATCTCCTTGCAGTCCAAGGGACTCTAAAGAGATGTACTAAATTCACATTAAAATGGTTTGATGGAGCAGGTCTCATGGTGGACCTTTTTTTTTTTTTTGCTTCACTACGAAGCATACAGGATGTTAGTTTCCAGACCAGGGATCGAACCTGCACCCCATGTAGTGGAAGTGTGGAGTCTTAACCACTGGATCAGCAAGGAAGTCCCAAGGTGGTCTTATTTCAACACCACAGTGACCTCAGATCACTTCATCTGATGTTCTTTGGGCTTGGCAGCTCCTAGCAGGTGTGACCTCTTGCCCACGGCCACCTGGATGCTTACCTGTCTTCCGCCAGCCCCGCCTCCGCCTTCTCTTCAGACCTGGGCAGGACGTACTCCGGCTGCGGCCTTGCGCTGGGAACAGAAAGAGGTGAGCAGGGGTGACCAGCTGACCAAGTGGGCTGAGGGGCTCTTGGCTCCCACTGCCCCTCCATCTGGGCTGCCGTGACCCGACAGCAATCTGGAAAGGGTTTGCCTGCCCTGGGAAGCGCCGGGGCCCAGAGGGTGGAGCAAGTGATGGGATGGTCAGGAATTCATGAAGATGAAGGCCACGGGGAGAAAGAAAGAAAAAAAAAATGAGAAAAAAAAATATAGAGAGAGATTAAAAAAAGCAGAACAATAATGAAGAATAAAAGATAACAATCCCTGGAGGGTAAAACCAGACTCCAACAGCAAAGTGAGAGAAGAAAAAGAAAAAAAAAAAAAAAAAAATATATATATATATATAAAATAAGAAAAATATAAATAAGAGTGATCAGACTAAAAACAAAGATTAGAAAATAATAGAATAAGAAGCCACAATCACAGAAAACTAATCAAACTGATTACATGAACCACAGCCTTGTCTAACTCAATGGAACTATGAGCCATGCTGTGCAGGCCCAGGCAAGACAGACAGGTCACGGTGGAGAGTTCTGACAAAACGTGGTCCACTGGAGAAGGAAATGGCAAATCACTTCAGTAATCTTGCCTTGAGAACCCCATGAACAATATGAAAAGGCAAAAAGATATATATGGCGCTGAAAGATGAACTCCCCAGGTTGGTAGGTGCCCAATATGCTATTGGAGAAGAGTGGAGAAATAACTCCAGAAAAAATGAAGAGATGGAGCCAAAGCAAAAACAACCCCCAGCTGTGGATGTGACTGGTGATGGAAATAAAGTCCAATGCTGTAAAGAACAGTATTGTATAGGAACCTCGAATGTTAGGTCCATGAATCAAGGTAAATTGGTAGTGGTCAAACAGGAGATGGCCAGAGTGAACATAGACATCTTAGGAATCAGTGAACTAAAATGGACTGGAATGGGCAAATTTAACTCAGATAACCATTATATTTACTACTGTGGGCAAGAATCCCTTAGAAGAAATGGAGTAGCCCTCATAGTCAACAAAAGAGTCCCAAATGCAGTTCTTGGGTGTAGTCTCAAAAATTACAGAATGATCTCTGTTCATTTCCAAGGCAAAACTTTCAATATCACAGTAATCCAAGTCCATGCCCCAACTAGTAATGCTGAAGAAGCTGAAGTTGAACGGTTCTATGAAGACCTACAAGACCTTCTAGAACTAACACCCAAAAGAGATGTCCTTTTCATTATAGGGGACAGGATGCAAAAGTAGGAAGTCAAGAGATACCTGGAGTAACAGGCAAGTTTGGTCTTGGAGTACAAAATGAAGCAGGGCAAAGGCTAACAGAGTTTTTCCAAGAGAACGCACTGGTCATACCAAACACCCTCTTCCAACAACACAAGAGATGAGGCTACATGTGGACATTACCAGATGGTCAATACCGGAATCAGATTGATTATATTCTTTGCAGCCAAAGATGGAGAAGCTCTATATAGTCAGCAAAAACAAAACCTAGAGCTGACTGTGGCTCAGATCATGAACTCCTTATTGCAAAATTCAGACTTAAATTGAAGAAAGTAGGGGAAACCACTAGGCCATTCAGATATGGCCTAAATCAAATCCCTTACAGTTATACAGTGGAAGTGACAAATAGACTCAAGGGATTAGATCTGATAGAGTGCCTGAAGAACTACGGATAGAGGTTAGTGACATTGTACAGGAGGCAGTGATCAAGACCATCCCCCCAAAAAATAAATGCAAAAAGGCAAAATGGTTGTCTGAGGAGGCCTTACAAATAGCTGTGAAAAGAAGAGAAGTTAAAGGCAAAGGAGAAAAGGAAAGATATACCCATCTGAATGCAGGGTTCCAAAGAAGAGCAAGGAGAGACAAGAAAGCCTTCCTCAGTGATCAATGCAAAGAAATAGAGGAAAACAACAGAATGGGAAATAGAGATCTCTTCAAGAAAATTAGAGATACCTAGGGAATATTTCATGCAAAGATGGGTGCAATGAAGGACAGAAATGGTATGGACCTAACAGAAGCAAAAGATGGTAAGAAAAGGTGGCAAGAATACATAGAAGAACAATACAAAAAGGATCTTCATGACCCATGGCTTTACTGTGCAGAGGACATGGGCCAGGCCCCCAGGAGGCTCCCCAGGGACCTGGGCAGGGGAACACCAGATGGATTCCCCTCTCTTCCATACCTGGAGGGACCCCTGCTCTGTCTCCCTTCTCCCCTGCACCCGCAGGACCTACAGGGGCAGAGGGTGCCCTTGGGAGTGTCCCTGGAGGACAGAGGGGGGTCCCAGAGAGTGCAGGGGGCCCAGAGGGAGGCGGGCCCTGGAGGATGGAGGGGGCCCTGGGAAGGAGGAGGGAACCGGAGAATGGGGGGGTTCCCAGATGGTGGAGGGCCTTTGGAAGGGAGAAGGAGGGGGCATGCAGAGGATGGGGACCCTAAAGGGTGGAGGGTTTCCTGGATGGTGGAGGGCTTGGCCTGGAGGGAGGAGAGCCCTTGAGGGCAAGAGGGGAACCCCGCGGAGCAGAGGGCCCAGTCCAGAGAACAGACTGGGGTCCCCAGAGGGATGAGGGGTCTCCAGAGGCGTAACAGGAGGGAAAGGGGCAGGGCACAACTTTTGAAAGAATGACATAGCCCAAGGACACAACATAAACCAATAAGAATCAAATAGGTCCAAGATAGGAGACAAGTGGACTCTGATTAGACCTTGATCCTTGATCTGCAAGCTAAACGACACACCCGGAGGCACCATGACAGTTCCAAGACACTGTCAAAACACCAAGATTTCCTGGAAATCTCCACCCTTTCCCCCAGAATAGTTGGAATAATCCTCCTACTCGTTAGCCTATGAAATTACCCACCCTATAAAAACTAACCACACCACATTCCACGGCCGCGCGTGCCCTCTGCAAAGGCCCACACTCTGTGGACTGCACTTCTCTCTGCATCTGAGTAAACCCACCTCTTACCTATCACTTTGTCTCTCACTAAATTCTGCGGTGAGACATCAAGAACCCAAGTTTCATTAGGTCCTGAAACAGGGCACTGTGGGTTTTGGCTGAGTTTGAGTCCCAATCCGACATAAATGGTTTCAGAGGGAGGAGGAAACTGGAAAGCAGGGAGCGGAGGGGGACCTGGGGGGTGAGCCCCGGCGGGGGGATGAGGCCGGAAGAGCGAAGGTGCTCCTGAAGGGTGGAGGGCTCAACCTAGGGGCCTTAGGAGGCTCCCCAGGGCCGAGCCCCCACCGTCATCAGCATCATTAGAAGGACTCTACCGAGCCCACTATTTTTGCCCAGTGGGTTACACTGGTCCTAATTCCTCATGATAACCCACAGGATGGCTGTGAATTTTTCACTTGCCTAATGTTATGCTGAGACTGAGCAGGGGAGCCTGGGTTCTAGCATGGATCTGACTCCAGTCCCTCTAGAGAAGGCAGGGCTTTGAACCACATGTGTGCATGACATGGGTCCCAACTGAGTTGAAGCTGCCGGCTTCCCCCAGCCGTGACCCAGCTCAGAGCCAGCCCCAACCCGGTCAGAACACGGGCCGCTCTGCACAGACCTTTCTCTCCTGGCCTTCAGCCGTTCCTCTTCGTACCTGGAAGAGAGAAAAAGGAGAAGCCTTAAGAGGTAGCCTGGGAATTCCCTCCCCTCTGGGAACAGGAAAGCAGTCTCACTGTCACATCTGAGCACCAGGCTTCAGAGCAGACAGGATAGCCTGCAGCTACTTTACAAAGCCCCACCTCACCCCATCCCAGGGCAGGGATAGATGTTTTACTGGCATATTCCAGTGTCTTGTGTCGCTGCAACTCAGCAGACATTTCTAGCATCTGCCCTAAACAAGTCCAGGATAAAGCAATTAATTATTAATGTGGCTTTGTCTACAGATGCCCCACCCCCCCACAAAGGGCCAGAGAGTCAATATTTTCGGCTTTTCAGACCAGTCTCTGTGGCAACCCCTTGATTCTGTTGTAGCTCGAAAGCAGCCGTGGATGGTTTGTAAATGGACAAGTATAGCTGTGTTCCAATAAAACTTTATTTACAAAGACAAGCCAGGGGCCAGGACTCACTGGCTCCTCCGCCTGCACTAGAGGGGCCAGGTCCACTGTGTTCTGTCATTTCACAGATGCCTGTTTCACTCTGTTTCCCTTTGTCCTGCTCTCCCACTCAGGTCTGGTTCTCTGGCAGCCTGATTGGGTGAAGCATGGGTGGTTGGGAGATGAGCAACCCTGGGGATGATGGGGATGGAGGTGGGGCAGTGCTCCCACAGCACAAGACACTCACTGTAGCACGCAGTCTGGGATCTGCACATGCTCCATGGGGATGAGCTGCTCCAGATCTTCCAAGCTGTGCACATACTGGATCTTGTTGATGAACTTGACGCTGGTGGGAGAAGGAGGGACACGTCTGAAAGCAAGCCCTTGGGGTGGTGACTCAGGGTCAGAGGGAGTGATGGCAGGCAGGGATGTACACACAGCCCTATTCCAGGATGCCCCAGCACACTCACCCAACCTCCCTCTCAGCTCATGCCAGACCTTACCCCCTACCCCTAGTGCAGGTACAGAGCAGAACCTGGGGTCTCTGCCTGCAAGAAGGGAGGGCTCCTGAGCCATGTGTCTGAAACCAGTCCCCGCTGAGCAGAGAGTTGTTGTTCAGTCCCTCAGTTGTGTCTGACTCTGTGATCCCATGAACTGCAGCACACCAGGCCTCCCTGTCCTTCACTATCTCCCTGAGTTTGCTCAAACTCACATCCACTGAGTCAGTGACACCATCCAACCATCTCATCCTCTGTCGCCCTCTTCTCCTTCTGTCTTCAATCTTTCCCAGCATTAGGGTCTTTTCCAATGAGTCGGCTCTTTCCAACAGGTGGCCAAACTACTGGAGCTTCAGCTTCAGCATCAGTCCTTCCAGTGAACATTCAGGGTTGATTTCCTTTAGGACTGACTGGTTTGATCTCCTTGCTGTCCAAGGGATTCTCAAGAGTCTTCTCCAGCACCACAACTTGAAGG